GTTTTACGTAGGAAGAAGGGGGTGGTATATTTTTAACAATTTAGGTAAAAAAACAAATTTTAATGTTTGATAGTAATTTAAATATTAAAAAAAAAAAACGAAGAAATTAATTTGATGCTTGCTAGCAATTTAAATATTTAACTTTTTTACAAATAACTTAGGGATTTCATATAACTTAAATACTGTATTTATTAACATTCATAGAGAACATATTAAAAGGATTTTTTTAAAATATAACAGTTTACTGATAGTAATCTTTTAATATTGTAAATGACTGTTAAGGTAACATCTTTATCAGTTTGAATCTAATTCATGAATGTAATTTGTAACTATTTTTAGAGGGGTAATCTTAGATTCAAACTGATAAACAAAGATAGATAGATATTAACAGACTAAGATAGATAGATAGATAGATAGATAGATAGATAGATATTAACAGACTAAGATAGATAGATAGATAGATAGATAGATAGATAGATAGATAGATATTAACAGACTAAGATAGATAGATAGATAGATAATGAACAGACCTATATAGATAATGAACAGACGTAGATAGATAGATAGATATTAACAAAGATAGATATTAACAGACTAAGATAGATAGATAGATAGATAGATAATGAACAGACCTCTACAGATAATGAACAGACGTAGATAGATAGATAGATAGATAGATAGATAGATAGATAGATAGATAGATAGATATGTGTTTGGGTGTGGGCATATATTTGTAGACAGGTGATGTGATAGTTGTAGAAACGTCCATTCTTCTATTTTTCCTAACGTCTCCCTCAATTAGAGACTCTCGCTTGGAGCGGGAGGTTTCCACCCAGCCGCCCAATAATCACAATGTTGAAATATTGAGGCAGCTGCGTGCCAATCTGAAATGGCGCAAAGCGTTTTGGCTTGCGCCATCAAAACTGATATCGATAACAATTGGATCACTGCTGAACGAGCCAACAGCTTCCCGCCATAACTCTTCTCGACCTATTAAGCAAGATTTATTTTTCCACTTGAATAACTTGTGATTTAATTTGGCCGGTTGATTGTACGGTCTCATTTCAGGAACGCATTCAGGTAACATCGGTAACTGAGTGAAGATTTCGAAGTAAAATCTCTGATATGGAACAAAATTCTTGGATATTTTGCTCTCGTTCAATTTTCAACTACTTTTGGCAAGATCTGTAAAAACATCTCTGAATACCATGATGCCCGCTCATTGGTGCAAGGTTATGCTTTACATGAAAATGTCTAGAGAATTAATTGATTTTGTTTTTAATTCGACATTAATTCTTATTTATCCAAAAGTTATTTTTGTGGATACACGTGTTTAAGTAGACGCCCTGTTTTTAAATTTATTTTAAGTAGTGTAAATTACGTCTACCGGCCTGTGTACTCCTTAAGCTTAATAAAGAAAATGTTATCACAGGCAGGGTTCGAACCTGCGTTCCTCTTTGTAGGGTAATTGACACTTACTGGGATGAGGCGCTCTTTGTGGCCGAGCAGTTTAAGTATTCCAGTTTAAATGAGATAGCCATTGACATACAGGTACTATATATATATATATATATATATATATATATATATATATATATATATATATATATATATATATAATATATATTATTAAATAAAACAGACCCCTTTTAAGGTTCCATGTAATAAATTATTTCACCACAGCCCTTTAAAAAGGACTGCGGATCATCAGACTTTACTTCCAAACTTATTTGCTCTGGATTTACATTGAGCTCTCTTGATTTTATCCTCCTTAGGTTTACCCATACGGATAACCTAGTTTTTCATAAACTAAATATATATATATATATATATATATATTTTTTTTTTTCATTTTCACCTAAAGCAAAGCAATAAAGGTACTAAAATGCATGATATTACTGAGTGTTAGAGAATAGAAAAAGAAAAAAGAGAGGAGAATAAAAGAACAAGAATTAATAAGGCAGTACATACAGATTAACATTGCAATTAAATTTTTGAAGATCAAATTTAACGGAGATGCTGGAAGAGAGTTTCCTCAAACGAGAAGTGCGAAAGAATAAAATGTTACACTATTTACATTATTCGGACTATTGTCGTCATCTTTGTCCCCATATTTATTACAACTTTTCGGCCGTTGTACGCTCCGGCCTTCTTCATGTGGTTGGAATGTCGAACTGAACCCTTTATTTCGCTCACTGGGGTAGACTGTTCTAGTTCCACGTGCCATGTTTTAATGGATATCAGTTGTCTCCTGTTAATTCCCCTCTCCAAGTTCTCCACTGACTTAACCGGGTATCACTTTGCCAAAAATTAAAAAAAAAATGATAGAAGGAAATCATGAAAGATCAAGGCACTTATTGTACAGTTTAGAGAAAACAGGAGCCATTTCGAGAGCACATTACTTAAGGACTATTGCAGGGATGCCATGGAGTTCACATGCTTTGAGGGGATCTTGTTTAGAAACGATAACAGAAAATATGGATGGAGTTATAGGCATATCACTTATTAGAGACTCAGTTCCAAGTGGAAAGTCAGTTAAAGATACTCCAGATGTGTCAAGAGTAAAATTGAGAAGAATTTACGAGCAAAACGTTCTGCTTTATCATAGAAAAATATTTAACACTTCAAATTGAGTTAAGATAGGAAGAATAGAAGATTTGCTCTTATTCAAGACATTATTACAGAACCGCTTGTAGTCACGAGAGTCAAACATGTTAGAAGCTATGAGGTGTCTTGTTCTATCTGCAGACAAAATCCCAGCCTCTTTAAGGTCACGAACACAATTGTTACGAGAAGAGTAGACTTATGTTATGATCGTAGATAACACGCTGAAACACCGGAAAGAAGTAATGCCTTTGGGCTATAGCGGCGGAAAAGGTTGGGGTGAACGAAGGAGAAGATTGTGGTTATTATCGAGAGGTAACAAGAGCACCGATACCGGCTTTGACCCAGGAAGAAAACTTTGTGGCACAATTCTCAATAGTAAAATAAAAAATCTCAATCCAATAATACTGGATAAAATCAATTAATAAAATCAACATATATATATATATATATATATATATATATATATATATATATATATTGATTCAATATATATATATATATATATATATATATATATATATATATTGATTTTATTAATTGATTTTTATTATTATGCTGGATAAAATTCAATTAATAAAATCAATATATATATATATATATATATATATATATATATATATATATATATATATATTGATTTTATTAATTGATTTTATCCAAAATTATTGAACTGAGATTTTTACCTTACTATTGAGAATATATATATATATATATATATATATAGGGAAAAGTATATTGTTGTTCCAAAGAGAGAAAAATATATGTTTAAAAAAAGAGAGAAACTTCATTTTGGTTACAATGTGGATTTGTTTTACTATATATATTATATTTTATTTTTCATATTTCTGCTACACGTGTTTCCACGTGGTGTATGTATGTATGTATGTATGTATGTATGTACATGACATTTTAAATGATGGAAATGAATGTAAATTATGTAAATCAATATGGATGTCATTAAACTTTTTATTCATTGGAATTTTTCCCTGTAAAACAAATATTCAGTTCTAGATTAAGAGAAACGATAGAATAAAAAAAAACGACGGAAAAAGAAAAATGAGTGACTTCAACACTGAATGACCCAGAATGAGTTGAAATGTTGTTAAACTTATTAATTTAGACTTTGAATTTTGACTACGAGGTTAAAAAGAGCGAAATCAGAAATGAGACATCTCCTATCCACCATATCGGGTACATGTCTTTCATCGTTGTCGACTGAACTATTTCGGCTCCAAAATACCATTGAACAAAATCTTTAAGCACTTCCGCTTCAATTCTCTACGCCATATTTCTTATTCTATCTCGACAGGAGAGAGTTATTTGTCTACGCTTCTAACTATTCAAAAAAAATAATTAGCCTGGAGCAGAATATTCCAAACTGTGGGTCCCGACCCTTCAGTGGGTCGTGAGATAAATAAAATGGGTCGCAACAAAAAAGAAAAAACTACACAAGTGAGTGCAAAGTGCAGAATAAAAACAATTCTAAATGTTGCACAGCACTCATAAATCATCACTAGTTTTTCACCGAGGTAAGCTCGTATCATGTTTTTAAACACACATATATATATATATATATATATATAGAGAGAGAGAGAGAAAGAGAGAAAGACAGACAGACAGATAGATAGATATATATAAACACGCACATACACACATATATACAGTCTGTTCTCGTTGAGTTTAAGTATCTTGTTTGTTGCGGACTGAATAACGGAATTGCCTTCTAATAGTAAGAATTTTATGTTCATACAAATAGATAATACTAATAGATACATGCAATTCCAATATGTGTGGATCCTAAGAAACATACTTATAAGTTGTCGATGCTAAATAAATGAACTTAGTGAACAGAATTTGTCTTTGATTTATTACGAGAAGATATAATGGATCGCAATGCAAAATGTGGTTCTTGCTGTGAGGTGGGGAGAGGACGATATACTAACTACAGAATTTACTTCACATAATTATTACAGCACCCGTGGTCGAATCGATTAAGCAGACGTTCATGAAATTCGCGCTCCAGAAACAAAATCAGTTCTCATTGGAGGTGTCGTAAAGCGTATTTATATATAACACACCTAGTCAAACAAAGGAAGGAGATCTATTGATTAATTGATTGATTCGTTTTCTAAAGTTTATCTACCTATTGCAGGTTATTAAAAGACAGAGCATATTTTTAGATTGTAAGAATTTTTTAGGCGGAGTAGGGGAGATGATAATGATTTTGTGATACAACGTCTTATTAAATAACCCCTAACTGGAGATAGAAGAGGTGGATTCATACCTTCCCAAACGGTACTTGTAAGAGAATATAATGAATTCAAATGGAATTTGACTCGACCCTTCGATTAACAATTCCGTGCCACTATCCATTACACTATCGCAGAGCCAAGCTTACAGCACCTAGTGTTTTCAAGCTGTTACTCAACTAAGTACTGACCAGGAATGACATTGCTTAACTTCGGTGATCGTACGGGGACCGGTATTTCTACGTGATATGGCCGTAAACCTTCACCAGAATCAGACCAGGTAAGTCGATATGTTGGAATGTAATTATATAATAGTAATCTGCCTAAAAGCATAAATACGAAGTGTCACTTATTTTTTGCTAAAACTTTGCCTGAAATCGTTGGAATCAGATTAAAATAAAATAATAAAATCAGAGAGTTTTTGGAATAGACAGTCTTATAATCTATGGAAGAGAAATTCGATCAAACACAAATTCTTAGAATGAAAATATACAAATAATGGTAATTGTTAATTAGGTCAATCTTTTAGTGAAAAATCTTCATACTCGAAGGAGATTTGATGTCGGTTTGCAATCAACTGCACCTTCCTTTGAATGTTTAGAGTACAGAAATATAATTATTACGGCACTGAAAATGGTCCCAAAACCCCTTAATAGAGAGATGAAAATAAATTGGAATCTGCACAAAATGGAAAATCTAGAAAAATAGAAAAAAAAAAATAATCCAGAGAGCTATGTTATGAAAATATGTGCTGAAATGCTTACTCGAGATTTGTAATAGAAATCCTCGTTCGAACATGAAATTGCTTATTTTATTATAATCTGGGCATTTTTACTGTTTTTCCTTCGAAAACGATAACATAATTGTATTTTTTTTTAAATATTTACTGCTTATTCAATAAACGCTTCCTTTAATTCCACTAATGCTTACTACGTTTTTTTTCTTCTTTTAGCAAATAAAGAAAGACTTTGTACACATGATTTTTCCGATTTACTGCTGCACGAGTTCGAATCACGTGATAATGTAGGTGATATTACGAAGAGTATAAATTCTACATTGGTAATCGGGTTGAATAATACCTTTAGTGTCAAAGGAGATCTGGGTGCCCCATACTTTCGGCCTTGTGCCACATCTAAGCTACGCTTAGAAAATCACCAGTGTGTAAATCCCTCTCTTGAGTGGTTTGTAACACATCTATTTATCATCTCTCAGTTGCGTCTCTGTCTTTTGGCAGAGTGAAATCTAGGCCGACACTGTCAAAGGACAGAGTCACAACTGAGGAAAATTATACCGAGGGGTGCCCTACCTTGGGGAAAAGCTGTCCGAGGACGCGCCCTCTCATTGCAACAGAGAGAGGGATTCGGTGCTCACAACGAGTCCAGCGCAACCGACGGTTGCGGAGGCTGCGGGCAATTTTTGTTCCTGGCCCGGGTGTACGCGCCCGGGTCCTCATCTTAAAAAAAGACTTTGTGTCACAACTCTGCTTAGTGGGGAGACAGGGTAAATACCTAGTGTCAAAGGAGATTTTGTGGCCGAGTGCTTAGAACGTTCGCTTTCTGACCATGAGACTCCAATCTCACCAGGGTCGATTTGTCAGGGAGGAGACTTCCTTACGTTATCACAGCGTGTGGCACCTTTGGAAAATGCCCGAAAACCATACCAGGGATTGAACCAAGCCTTGTGAGTGAAATTGGGTAGACGGAACACTTGGGGGGGGACCATCGATAGCAGTGTTAGCTATTGTGACCGAGAGTTTGAGTGTGCTGGTGGTGTTCAAATTGTTGATCATTCTAGATAACACGCTCTCTCCCAGAAACTGTAACATAGTGGCAGTATAGACTACAGATTTGTTCTGTGGGTGTTGAGCAAACACAAATGTGCCTGAGCAAGAGTCTGCAATAGTAGACGGGTATCCTCGAATACGAGTGACCAGCTATTATATATATATATATATATATATATATATATATATATATATATATATATAAAAACAATGCGGGAAACAAATATTCGTACACATACAAATTTTGAATTTATTGCATTTCCAACTAATGGATAAACATACTTTTCTTATAATTAACTGTACACAAATGCATAATAACTAAATATGCATAGAAAACAGAAAAAAAAACTTTTGATTTAATAGAAATAAATTCCATTTATCCATTTTAATAGGGGAAAAAAGTATTCGTACAATGCGAATTTCAGATTTTAAAACTTTTAAATTGCTTTAATACTCTAGATTAATCAAGTGGAATATTTTAGAATGTTCCAATAATATTATCAGTAGTTATTTTTAGCCTAAAAAACAGAACATTCTGTAGTTTATATTCGTGCAAGAAGATTATCATCATAAGAGGTAAAGAATTGACAATTTGTATATGTACGAATATTTGTTTCCCCCACTGTACATATATATGAGTGTGTGTGCGCGCGCGCGTGTGCGTGTGTGTAGCTAGAAAAAAAGAGAGAGGGACAGGAGAGAGATTAATTTAATGGTGTTGTGACTTGTGGTCTGAAGATCGCTTAAGGCATGAAATAGGTAGCTACAATGTAGTGTTGATTTCTATGCCCACATTGTCTATCTGAATAAACACTTTATCTCTGATACTAAACCAGTGATCCAGAACCTACCAACCTACCTACTAAGGTTTCACCTAACGGATATTCAGGGTACTACTGGCTAAAGAGGGTAGGTCCAAACGACATTTTATTGGTAAAAACAGCCACCATAAAATCATAAAATAAGCATAAAAAAGAACAAGACGGGGAAAACAAAACGGTAAGCCAAAGATATTTTATTGGAAAGACGGCCACCTGAAAAAAAAAGCAAAAAAAAATACATACTCACTATCCTTTTGTTCAAGTAACCAGGCTTTTTATGTCTATACCCATTAGGAATTTCCGATCTCTGGTTAAGTAACATGTTAGGGTTATTATAAATGGTTATGGCTAATTTTTCCTCCATAGATAGGAGGCTTTATCACCGGCTTTATATTTGCGGAATTTTTGTATTATCTCCCATATTAGTATGTGGTTCAAGCCTTCCTCTTTTTTAATTTTCCACACATGATTACATAATCTAGTTCTATGTCTATATATCTCATGTGTGAAAGTAATTTCGTAGTTATAATATACTAGCAGTAGAGCCCGGCGTTGCCCGGGGATATAACAGTAATAGATAGATCAAGTATCCACCATCATAAAGACTGAAAAATAAAATTGACAAAGATTATTGTTTAAGGACAAGGTTGACGGACACGCATGCCTTAATTATTTTTTTTTTTTTTTTTACGAATTGGTCAAACCCAAACTCAAACAAAAACATTGTTTTCAATCGTTATGAGTCTACCGATTGAATAGAATTTTATTATAAACAATTGTCTTGTAAATGGAATTTTTAAAGCATTCTGAATGTAAGAATAAAGAAAAAAGTGTGCAAGACAATAAGAAACACTACATGCCAAAAAAAAAAGTGAAGTTTTGTTGAAATCGGTTGAAAAATGTAGGTAGCCTTTCTGTAATCTTTTAGTTTTACAATTTATGATTTTTACTTATTGAATACAGTAAAAAAAATTGCATATTTTGCTTGTGGTGATTCATAATTAGAATTCTGATTTGAATATATTTTCCACTCGTTGTTTCTAATACAAAAAAATATATCATTACGACTATTTTTAGGTTTATTACAATATACCTCTATTTTATATAATACACATTCATGTTGAGATTTGCCCTCTAGAGACAAAAAGCCTTGTTGATGCAGTTACATTTGGAGGAATTGATATATTGTTTATTTTTTTAGTGTCAGTGTTTTTTTTTCCTTTTCACCAGGCATTGCGGTGGGAATTGATGTCATTAGTCTTTTTTCTTTTCTTTTTTTTTTACTGAAAATCGGTTTGTTCAAATATATTTTTATTTACAAATTGTATTATCTGTTTTTTAGTTTTTTTTTTTCACACCGCCTGACTATAAGTATTAAAATCATATATATATATATATATATATATATATATATATATATATATATATATACAGTGTAACCTGGATATAAGAGAGTTGTCGGGACCGGAGAAGAAGTCTCTTATATCCCGGTTTTCTTATATCCGGTTTTGGTCTATTTTATATACATTAACACAGGCTCTAATTTGGGACCAGAGAAAATCTCTCTTATATCTGGGTCTCTTATATCCGGGTTACACTATATATATATATATATAAAAGTGAACATTGAAGTCAACACTCAGAGGCAACAGGCTGTTTCATCCTGGACGCAATCGACAGGCCAAAAGCGCCCAGCATAAAACAGCCTGTCGCCTCTGCGTGTTGACTTCAATGTTCACTTTATATTTATATTTACATACACTCTATCTCTGATATTGAGCACTTTTATCCCATAAATATAGCGCACCTTAAAACTATATTTCTTTTATATATATATATATATATATATATATATATATATATATATATATATATATATATGTATATATAATAACTATTTTTTACTTCCATCTTATGAATAGATGTGTATGTATTTGCATTTTTATATGAATGTAGCTGTGTACATGATAATATGTAAGAAATTGTGAAAAGTATTTTTTATGTACATTAGAAAATCTATTTTTATTGCGTTAAATGTTATTTGGAGTGAATACTCATATCTGAGTAGAAACTCCCTTTATTTGTTGAACATTTCTTCTTTTTTAAAACACATTTCATTTCTGTGCCTGCATCATTCATTAACACGTCGGAGAGTTTCCCGCTTTCCCAAACATGAACACCAAGGTGCCTCGTTTATCCTTTGTTAGTTTTTCAGCCATCTTACTTCACCAAAATTGTCTCAGCAAAATAAAAGTATATCAAAATAAATTAAACTTTTAAAACATGATTAATTAATTAAACCTCACTACTCTTTCCGTACCCTATATAATAATTTTCTCTTTCATTGTATCTTGTGCATCTTAACATTCATGTATTTTAATTTATGTCAGCAGTATTTTCTCTTGTAAAATAAGACTTGAGTATAATACGACGCCATGTTTTTGAAGTTGAAATGGAATAAATTACATCCTTTTGTATCATACGCCCCCTTAGTATTGCAATCTCTATTTAGTTTTTTGAAAAATTATATCATATTATCCATTAAAATCTCAATAATAAAGAATTAAATACTGTCGATATTAAAAATGAATAAAGAAATAAATACTGCCGATATTAAGAAAGAAATAAATATTGCCGATATTAGGAAAGAATAAAGAAATAATCTCGTACACACATTTAATTAAAATATTTAAATTTTCACGATATTAAAAACTAGAAGCGAACCGGATGTTTAACCATTGCTTGTTTCTTCTCGTAATTTCCGTTTGAAAACTTATTTTCAGGTTTTCGGGGAAAGGTGCTTACAAAACAAATCCGGTGTAATATATTTTAAGGTGTTAATTAATCTTTCATAATTTTCTATTTGATATGAATTTATTACATTTCTGTATATTAATAAACTACGATTGTCTTTCAGAAAAATGAAGAGAGAAACAAATACTAGGGATCTTAGGAATTAATGAAGAAACAAATACTACTTATATTAAGAATGAATAAAGAAATAAATATTGCCGATATTAGGAAAGAATAAAGAAATAAATACTGCTGATATTAAGAATGAATAAAGAAATAAATACTGCCGATATTAAGAATGAATAAAGAAATAAATCCTGCCTATACTAAGAATAAATAAAGAAATAAATACTGCCGTTATTAAGAAAGAATAAAGAAATAAATACTGCCGATATTAAGAACGAATAAAGAATTAAATACTGCCTATATTAAGAAAGAAAGAAATATTACCGATATTAGGAAAGAATAAAGAATTAAATACTGCCGATGTTAAGAATGAATAAAGAAATAAATGCCGCCGATATTACGAATGAATAAAGAATTAAATACTGCCGATATTAAAATGAATAAAGAAATACTGCCGATATTAAGAATGAATAAGGAAACACCTGCTGCCCATATTAAGAATCAATAAAGAAATACTGTCGTATTAAGAGCGAATAAAGAAACAAATACTACCTATATTAAGAACGAATAAAGAAACAAATAGTTTTCTAAACAACTATCACTACCTGCCTACTTTGGTTTTTAATATGTGTTGAGCATAGTGTATTTGCAGTCTTCCTGTTTCAAATAAGAGTTTTTTTAGGCCTGAGAAAAATTTCTGAAAACATTTACTTGTGTATAATACGGCTCTACGATTTTGCCTTTAATTTTTGTTGAAAATTTCTCGTATTATATATCAGAAAATATGGTAATAAAGGTTAGTCACTTGTTACTTATCACTAAATAATTCCATCAATATATAAAGAACAAAATGTAAATGCATTGAAAATCCATTTATGTTCCAAAAGTGTCACAAGCGGAATATGGTAATAAAACATCTATTTCTACGTCCTCTGTCAGTAATTCCTGTGTTATTCATAAAATTCTATTGATTCTAATACTGTATTGAAGACTGAAGGCGATATTTGATTGGTTGAAATTGTGCCTGTATCCGTTTAAAAACGAATGCAAATTTACTAAGTTCTAAATCCACCGCCCACTTGAATATTTTAAGTCGGCTGCAGGCAATAAAACGAAAATATGAACCAATGGTAGAACCGATTGGCTCTCTTGGGTAGAAATCTCTCTGGACTACCAGGAACTGCGGACATTGGATATTAGCATTAACAAGACAATGTATATACAGACGATGGTTGAAAACCCGCAGATACGTACTAGAACGTGGGATGATAAACACTTAACAACTAAATTAACTTCCCAAAAATCAATGGTTTAAAAATGGCTTCAAACAAATTTATCTAAAGATCGCGAGGAAGACGATCCTTCGTCATATCATATAGGCATGCGCTACAAAGTCATAAACGAAGATCTTTATGAAACAGTAAAAATTATAGTTTCAACATGTTCAACTGCAGCAACAAAAATGAGTAACGTCTGTGATTAGGAAAAATAATGATATAAAGAACCTGTTGACTTGTTATGCTGCCAAAAACAAATATTTTTGGAAGAAAATTCACATCGATATTAATATTATAGTTCTTTCTAATTGCTAAAACACACATTTGAACTGGTTTGATTGATTGATCGAGTTGTTTTTTACGGCTTACAAATTTTTGCAGGTTATTTAAAAGGTTTTTAGATTGTGAGAACTTTTTTTAGATATAATAATGATCTACTGATAGAAGTCTTACTAATTAATACAGAGCTGGGGGATCTAACATAGAACCGTAAGTTCAATGCTAGCAGATTCTTCTCTCACACTTATCGCTTGTGGAACTCACTTCCGGCTTCTTGCTACCCAGTCAAATTTGATCTTCAAAAATTTAAATGCAATATCAATCTTTATTTTCTGTCTTCTTAATTTTTGTTCTTTTATTGTTCTCTCTCCTAAATATTGTTTTTCTCATATTCTCTTAACACGCAGTAACTTCCTTTGGAGGAAATGATAAAAAAATCACTGTCAGGGTTTTCAGTTGATAAAGATGATCCCGCGCTCTTCGCTCCCTTACCCAGTACGATAACCTCACACGCACAGATAGATAGATAGATAGATAGATAGATAGATAGATAGATAGATAGATAGATAGATAGATAATATTAGTGGTTACATATGCAATCATATATATAAAATATATAAATATATATACATACATACATACACATACATATATATTTGTATAAAAAATAATTTCAAGAGGATAGAATCAAGGTAGAACTCAATGTCCAGGACAGAGTAAGAATATAATAAAAGGAAACGCTAATATATATATATATATATATATATATATATATATATATATATATATACTTTTATATATTATATATATTTTATATATTATTTTATATATTATATATATTTTATATATATATATACTTTTATATATCATATATATATATATATATATATATATATATACTTTTTATTTCTTTTGTTTTAGGATATTACGTCGAAAACATGTCAAAATCGCTACACAATTACAGTCGTGTTTCGATACGTATACATCGCAGCTCATCAGGCGATTGTAAATTACACTAAATTATGATTAAAGATGATTGCAAATTACTTTAAATTAATTGTAATTTACTGTAAATTACTTGTAATTTAAAATTGTTTGATGAGATGCGTGGTATGTCGCATCGAAACACGACTGTAATTGTGGAGCAATTTTGACATGTTTTCGATGTAATATAAATATAAATTAAATAAAGAATATTGCTCTACTTTGTATTGAGCCCTCTCTTAAATTAAATGTTAAGAACGTTGGAATTGTACTCTATACGTTCTCATATTACCTATATATATATATATATATATATATATATATATATATATATATGTCAGCCTGTTTAATGATTCCTTTGCCTTATTTTGTACCCATCTACTATTTTCGCCTTCGTAAAAATTTATCAAGCGTTTTTTAATATAAATTTTATTTTTCCGCGTAAATGAATTCAGTGAAACACTTTTGCCTTATATTTATTTTTCATGTCAGAGACTATTTTGCCATACTGTCGGTCTTCTTCCATCTGAAAAAAGGGAAAAATTATTAATGGTTATCAACGGGAAGATTCAACCTCTACTGCCAAACTACAAACATCTGTTTCTCACTCTGTGGGCCCACAAAATTAAAATAGGAAGCATGATTTCCGCAGCGACTCTCGTATTTTGCAAGTATTTAAAAAAAATTAAATTGGCATATGCATTTAAAAAGTTATACGTATATTCTGACCAACGGTTACATTCTTAACAAAAACAGTCATTTCGCAAAGAGTAATTTAATATTTTCTGCAAATATCTTTTATCGTCTAATAATGCGGATATTGCAAAATGACACTCCAGCAAGAGAAAATTATTGCAACATGATCTAGGAAAGCCTTAAAAAGAATCTTGTTTTGTTTCTTTCTGGTGTTGATACACATGGCGAAAGCGAAACCACATTTATGAACACGACATATAAGCTTTTGGGTCTGTCTATATTTCTGAGATGAGGTATTATGTATATTATTTACATTATTCGGAATACTGTCCTCATCTTTGTCACCTTCTTCTGTCGTTGGAATGTCGAACTGAACCCTTTATTTTCGCTCACTGGGGTAGACTGTTTTAATGAATGTCAGTTATCAATTATCTCCTGTTAATTTCCCTCTGAAAGTTCTCCACTGCCTTAACCGGGTATTGAACTCACACTCTTTGGATCTAACTAACGCCTTTATCCACTGTGCCATATGTCCTTGACGACATCTGGGTATGAATTTCTGGGTATTATAAACCTAATGTCTTCAGCAACCATTTTTGCCAGTACTCATATTGCAATTTTGCTGTTATCGTTGCATGTTTTTTACCAGAGCTCATATTGCAACTTTGTTTTTATCATTGCTTTTCTCTGGCACTCCTTATTACTGGTTCCCATATTGTATTTATTTCTATGCTTGGTCGGCTCAGGAGATTTTTGTGGCCTAGCATATGTGCTGATACCTTAAGTTTACGAATTTTCCAATGGTGTTCCTTGTCTATGATGTCAACATGATCCCACAGAGTGGTGACCACATCTGGAGGAGAAGGGAGATCACCGCCCTAATGGTAGTGAATATATGGAAGAGTAGTGTTTTCGTAACAGGCAAATGCTGCTTCATCCAACAGTGTCTTTATACTCCCTATATTTTATGTGGTTTCCGTAGAAATGAACGGAATGTGTTACTTTCGAGCTGGCCCTGTAACGAAAATATACGCTAACGTAAATAACTGACTTAGCCAGGACTATGGTATATTTTCATAATTTTAAAATGCAGAGATTTTTGCTATAAAGCTTCGTTTGGAAGTGAATGAGAAAAGAAATAGAGGGAGTGACGAAGAGAGAGAGAGGCAAGCCGTTATGCATGTGGATATTGCATCACTCGTTTCTCTTCTGTAAAAAGAATAAACTCGTCACACGGGGTCATTATTTTCAGTTAACTTCTCGATCAAACCGTGTATTTTATTCTCTTTTGACTTATAATATAGCTGTATATTTGTATTTATGTGCAACATTCTATTCTGCTATAAATACCATATAAACTACTATATAATATTCAACATATCCTTCAGAGCTTTTTCATGTTTGCTATTTTTATCATTAGGCTTGTCCTTAGATAGATAGATAGATAGATAGATAGATAGATAGATAGATCACACTGCTGAAAATATTATATTGAAAACATATAAATATAGAAAATAGTAGTAGGAAGAGTTTATGTTATAGATAGATAGATAGATAGGAACAGAACGAGATAGATAGATAGATAGATAGATAGATAGATAGATAGATAGATAGATAGGAACAGAACGAGATAGATAGATAGATAGATAGATAGATAGATAGATAGATAGATAGATAGATAGTGTCCACACAAAATCCACATAGAGAGTGGAATTGTGTCCTCAGAAAATCTATGAACTGATAAATGAGAAAGAGAGAAGGCGTCCTTAGAAAAAATTACAGATAGAAAATGAGAGAGAAATTGTATCTTCTGAAAATGTATAGATAAATAAATTAAGAGAGGTGGAATGAGAGAGAGAGAGAGAGAGAGAGACGGCGTCCCAGTAAATTCTATAGGTAGATAGATAAGACAGAAAATTTGCAAGTAGATAGATAGATAGATAGATAGATAGATAGATAGATAGATAGATAATGTTAAAAATTTTGTTTCACCCTGAGTAAAGGATGAAGGTAATAAAATAATTACTAAAACCTGAAACTTGCTATCTTGCGTGCAAAGCTCATTGACATTGAAGTGGGGGATGTCTCAATTGAAAGTGAAAAAATGGAAAAGAAAAACAGAAGTGTTTTTCTACTACAATAAAATGATATTTTAGCCAATGGCTACTCGAGGGGATTGAAATCTGAAATGCTTGTGTTGACCGGGTAAATCGGTGCCGACCTTCGGCTATAAAAATCCCTGCAATACGAACATCAACGGGAAAAAGTTGCGAGTGGGAGAAGCAAAGCCGAAAGTGGGAATAACTAAGCCTTCCATAAGGTGAAAAGCTGAACGAGCTTCAACTCAAAGATGCGGCCGCAAAAACCTTTTCCTCAGCGTAACCTTGGCAACAAAATTGCCATTTTCCCAACAGAATTAAGTTTTATTTTCACCTCGACTATTGTATCAAAATAGTCATCTCCACGACAGAGAACAAATGCTGTTCTCAAAACCATGCTTTACGATGAAGAGTCTGAAGAAAAGAATGGATTCTATCACGGACTTCGACAACTCACATCAAATCACAAAAAGTATTAAGTTCATTTAAATTTTATAATTTTAAGGTAAATATACCCTCGACCTCACTGAAACCATTTTATTGTACGTTCTTCTATGTAATTTGCATTGTTTTGTATAAGCTGGCTTTTTTCTTGTGATATTTCATGTTATTTGATTGATTTTGATTGTAAACATGATCGGTTTCCCACAGCTATCATTGAAGCTTATTTCAGAAAAAAAAAAGTTGCTTCTCCAAAAATTTATTATCCTTTCTTTTCGGGTGCACAAACCACCAAATGTGTGCATCCCATAATATTTAATAAAATTTTATTTTATTTTATTTTATTTTAATAAAATTGATTTGGTTTTATATCTCACTGTGGAGCTATCGTCAATTTTTATGGTACGCCTTATTGTCGCTTGATCCCTACTCTCTCCAATTACTTGTCATGGAACCAACAAAAACATAGTTTTTTTTCTTCCTTTTTATGATAGATAGATAGATAGATAGATAGATAGATAGATAGATAGATAGATAGATAGATAGATAATTTTTCAGACTGAAGAGATAGATAGATAGATAGATAGATAGATAGATAGATAGATAGATAGATACTTTGCAGACTGAAGGGATAGATAGATAGATAGATAGATAGATAGATAGATAGATAGATAGATAGATAGATAGGGCGAGAGTGAGAGAGAGGTGTTGTTCTCAGAAAATATACAGATAAAAATACAGGTAAAAAAGCAGAATGAGATATCGACTATGGACCAACCAGGATTCATTATTGATCGCCACGATCTTAAATTTATATCAGCAGGTGGCACAGTGTTGATAGCAGACACAAAAACGGAAATACAGAAACTCCGACAAAGGGTAGTTATTTTTTTTATTACAACAATGTCAAACCTGTACAAATTACAAGATCCACTCGAAATAGAGTTTCTCTGTATAATATTCAATCCGCTGGGCACTTTGATGTGCAGCGATAGTTAACAAGCTCGTCTCACTAGTTTTTTTTTTTTTTTTTATGAATGTGTTGTGAGTTCGATCCTCACAAAATGCTACATATATTCGGCCTTGTGCCTCATCTAAGCTACATTTAGTAAATCATTATTCGATTCATGTGTTTAATATTCACAACTGAATCAGAGAGTAAAAAAAGCTAATGACAAATAAATATTGAATGTTGAAAATAATTATTTTTGTGTAAAATCAAAGCTTTTCATTATAATGCTACGGATGTATTGATTTATCTATCTATTTATCTCTCTCTCTCTCTATATATATATATATATATATATATATATATATATATATATATATATATAATATGAACATTGAAGTCAACACTTAGAGGCGACAGACTGTTTCATGCTAGACGCAATCGTCAGGCCTGGCGATTGCGTCTAGCATGAAAAATCTGTCGCCTCAAGTGTTGACTTCAATGTTCTTTTATATTTACACACGCTCTATCTCTGATATATAAATATAGCACACCTTAAGAGTATATTTCTTCATATATATATATATGATGATGAAATATAGTGTTAAGATTAAAGTACTCAATATCCGGGATAGAGCGTATGCAAACATAGAAATGGACACTCAGAGGCGACAGTATACATGCATACATATATATATATATATATATATAGAGAGAGAGAGAGAGAGATTGAACTGTATGACGGTCAAGCAACTCAGTTTCTAGGAACCGACAGCCAGACAACCTGCACATATGATTTAATTATAATGGTGAAGGCTCTGTGCAGAACCAACCACACTTATTGAAGGGCTGAATACAGAGACCTGGTTCACCGTGTGCCACAAGAGCCCCAAACAACCCTCCGCAGGTTTTGAATTCAGAGTTGCCCTTCTCCTAAACCAGATGCACATTTAAGGCAACCCAGCCTGTCCTCCTATCTACGCATAGGCGAGGGAGAACAAGAGGATTCATGCCTTTCCCAAGCACGTAAGTGAAGAATGTAATGCATTCAACTGGAATTCGAACTCGGCTCTCCGATTCCTGAATCCAAGGCGGTATACATTACTCCACCATTTCATTTTAAACATATAATCTACTATATAATATTCAACAAATCTTTAAGAGCTTTTTCATGTTTGCTATTTTTATCATCACGCTTGTCCTTAGTTAGATAGATAGATAGATAGATAGATAGATAGATAGATAGATAGATAGATAGATAGATAGATAGATAGAAGCAGATAAACTGATATATATATATATATATATATATATATATATATATAGAGAGAGAGAGAGAGAGAGATAGATATAGATAGATAGATAGATAGATAGATAGATAGATAGGAACAGAACAGATAGATAGATAGATAGATAGATAGATAGGAACAGAACTAGATAGATAGATAGATAGATAGATAGATAGATAGATAGATAGATAGATAGATAGATAGGAACAGAACGAGATAGATAGATAGATAGATAGATAGATAGATAGATAGATAGATAGATAGATAGATAGATAGATAGATCATAGTACCAGTGACTATATAAACATCTTTAAAATGTATGGGGGTTGAATAAGAAACTTATACTTCTCATATAGAAAATAATACCCGATTGTCAGTTAAAAAGACATGACTATAAATACCAGAAAAAAAGGTTGTGATCGTTGAGATCTCGAATGATTTATAAAAAAAAAAAAATGAAAGATAAAATATCTTTTTGTTACCTTAATCTCATTTCGTTCCATTGTCAGCAACTCAACATTAGCATTAGAACTTAATGGATAATGTCGTTTTTGAAAGTAAGCTCGCATTCTCTATATCTTTCTTTTTTTTCTATCCATCTATCTATGTATCTGTCTTTATCACACGCACACACACATATATATACACCCACACACTGTCAGAAACTGTTCCAGACTAACTCTATGACGTCACACTTTTGGTGCCATGAAACGACACTTTACTACAATAGTTTCACTTTTTCTGTTCACTTGAAAGTTAATCAGACAAAATAAAACTATACTACGCGGGTTAACTTGAAGCAAAGATCAAACACAGTATTTCCTGCCCATCGGTACATTTCAAGTCACATAACTAATACGCTATAAAAATGAAAGACATTCTCCGCACAGACTCATTCCTAAAAGACAGTCTTTTGAACACTTTGCCACTTTTTCTTCTTTTATGTCACGCTTTACAGCCAAAAAAAAAAAAGGTAAGTGAGAGCAAGTGCCTGTAAGGTAAGAACAATCCAAAGACACTTCTTTCTTTGTCATTTCTTCAAACACTCCCCCTCTTTCATGCTATAGACAACTACATTTTTTTCAGCAGCAAATCATTGCTCCAATTCTTATCGATCTTTGTTCGATGAAAGACTGAGTTCACTTTGGCAGGTTTCAATCCACCTTCGTGCAGTTGGAATCTTTATATGAGCGCAAATAAATTACCACTTGCTTTATATATATATATATATATATATATATATATATATATATATATATATATATATATATATATATATATATATATATATTAAATAAAATTTAGTTTATGAAAACTAGGTAATCCGTATGGGTAAACCTAAGGAGGATAAAATCCAGAGAGCTCAATGTAAATCCAGAGCAAATAATTTAAATAAAAACAGACCATTCTAAGGTTCCATGTAATAAATTATTTCACCACAGTCCTTTTCAAAGGACTGCGGATCATCAGACTTTACTTTCAAACAAAAAAATGAAAAGAAAATTTACACATTTTTGACGGACCGTATTAAACATATGTAAGTTAACGAAGTAAGGAAGTGAGGGGGAGAGAGAAGACATGAGTGAGTTAGCAGACATTGACACATTTAAACAGTTATATATATATATATATATATATATATATTATTAAAAATTAAATTATTATTTTTAATGTTATATATATATATATATATATATATATATATATATACATAACATTAAAAAATAAGCGCATGTAAAGTAAATTCTTATTAGCTAATTTGGAGAACCAAAAATAAATTTACTAAAAACAAAGACATCTTCTTTAATATTCTGTTGATATTTTTGCTCCGTTTATTTTTTTCTTTTTTTATTTATATTTTACGAAACTGCTGTTAATCTTTTGTGTCCGCTGGGATAAACAAAAATGCTTTCAATAATACGAAAAATTATGAAGTTGAAGCTGATTCCTTGCAATCGAATAGGGCGAGAAATTTTCTTGAAAAATCAAATCTTAAGAAGTATATATTGAAACTAGAAATAATTTGGCTAGTTCTTTTTCTGCTGATACGTTGGTGTAATGTAGATACCTCCACGAAAACTCTTAAAAAATCAACATACCACGATGAAAACCTGCTCCGAACGTAATGAAAACATATTTTTATCGTCAAAATCTTTATGTTATTAAGAGGAAGGCTCGAAACATTTCTGATTATTTAATTAAATTTTTTTACTCCTTTTTAGAACATTCGAAATTTTGATTAAAAAACATGTTCTTCTTGCGTCATCGGTGGTGCTAACTTTTAGCATACCAAATTTTGGCTTCATTTTTGTAGTGATAGACGTATTAATTTGAAAATTCTAGCAAAAATCAAATATTTGTCGGATTTCAATTAAATTTTCATGAGTTATTCACAAATGAATGAAACTATTTTTTTTATTTTTATTTCTTTATTAGAAAATCTTGGTAAAAATATTTTTGCCTGTGTTTCAGCCCTTACTTAATTTTATGAAAACTTGAGAAATTCAACGTGATAATTTTTAGTGACTAGTTTTTTGGTTTGTTTTTTTTTAAACATTTCACCCCAAGCAAGGTGAGAGTGTCACTGTACGCAGTGGGGGGTTACAGAGTGTGAAAGTGAGAGAAAAAACTGCATATAGGGGGGGGATTGAGGAAAGGATAAAAGATGAACGGAATTCAAGATAGCAGAAGATGGCGATTGACGTTGCATTTAAATGTTTAAAGATTGTAGCTATCAGGGAAGCAGTAAAAGGAAGAGAATTTCATAGGTGAGCGGTCAGTCGAGAAAAGAAACTGTTGGATTAGAAGTGGCGGTTACATTTAACTATTTCAACAGTAAACGCCGAATATTTCTAAAAGAATTTCGATTTGGTTTTGTATATATGAATACGTGCAGAATTTCTGAAATATGGATGTACAAACCCATAAACCTATCATTAAAAGGTCACGTGTTTAAAAGTTGTCTCTCCTTGTAAAGTTTATCGTCTGCTTCCCCTTACTTAACTATGAATACGCTCGACTGTGAATCCATTGTCAATAAATCGATTAACAAGACCCGGCAGTTAAGAAATGTTTGAATACAACATTTTATACTATAAGCAATATTTGTTTAAAATCAGATTAATTTAACTTTACATTTGCTAATTTTCCTCAAATAAGGTTTCAGAAATATATATTTTTGCACGATTACTGAAACCGAGAATTAACTTTTTTTTACAAATGTGTCAAAAATGGCCGTTTTTATTGATTTTACTGAAAAAAAGATACAGATCATTATAATTTCTGTTTGAAATACACCACAGAGTATTTTGATTACTAGGAAGAATAAATCTGAAATTCTTTAGCTTTAAATTAAGGTTAAAATGTAGGCTTCAAGAAAATTTTCCCTTTTAAAAAATTCATTTTTTTTACGTATAACATATTAGTAGAGGTACATAGTGTAATGGATAGAACCAAGGAATGAGAAATCTGAAGGCCGAATTCGAATTCCAGTCAAGTTTGTTACTTTCATTCACGCACAGGGAAAGGTATGAATTGATCTCTTCTCCCCCAGCTATTGGTTAAATAGTATGATTGTATCAGGAATCGTCATTGTTGCCTCCAAAAAAAAAAGTTGTTAATGCAATATTCATTCGCCAAAAAAAAAAGGAATTGTTTTTTTCAAACCAAAATGAGTTCCGCTTTAAATATCCCACAATGTCTGTATATATTTCTGAGATGAATTATTGTAACTAGTTTCACCCAAGGGCACATGGCCTAGCAGATAAAAGTGTTAGTTGAAATAATTCAGTGATTAGGCTCAAAGTGTTGTGAGTTCAATACCTGGCCACAGCAGAGGTGAATAAAAACTTTAGAGTTGAGTTACTAAAGGGAGATAACTGAAAGTGAGATATCCAGAAAAAGCATGGCACGTGGAACTAGAATAATCTACCCCGGTGGACGAAATAAAGGGTTCGGTTCAAAATTCCAACGTATATCACCTGAAGAAGGCCGGGGTGTACGACGACTGAAACGTCGTGAATATGACAACAGAGATGAGGACAACAGTCCGAACAATGCAAATAGTGCAATTTATCCTACAAAGTGTTGATAAGCCGTAATCAATAAATTATTTTGCGATATGTCAACACTTGCTTGGTTATTTGATATCGAATTTTGTGTGTGGCCCCAAGTGAGGATCGAACTTATTATTCACTAGTAATGTTCAAGCAGACTAGCCACCGTAATCATTAGCCCATGTCCATGCTTCTCCGAAAATATGAGGAATCCTTAGAAAGTAATGACCACTAATTTTGTAGTTCCACGACGTCAGACGGGGTTATTATTCATAAGGCAATGTAAGTTGAACCTTCCTACCACTAACCCATAATTTTTGCCTTGTTACAGATAGTAGCTGATCGGTAGATTGGTGAAATGGAGTCTGACATGAAAATGCTTATCAAGCAGACGTTTGTCACTCAGTTCCTCCGTGCAGGAAAATTTGGATCCATTGAAATACATCAACGCTTGCTGAATGTTTACAGTAAAGAAACAGTGGACGTGAACATAGGTGATGTGTGTGATCAGCCACGTTTCGCGCATTCATGTCCATCTGTCATTATATCTAATGAAAAGCTCCTGTTGATAGTCGTTCGAAAAAAAAAATCCAGTGACAGTGGCAATGTGAAAAAATTGCTCTATCCAGTTACCTGCCGCA